GCCACATTGTCAAGCATACAAAATGTCTGCTAGATACCACGCATATTCTTATGTCTAAGATTAATAAAAAACACCCATAATAGGTTACCTCTTTAAAAAGTGCTTTTATTTGATATTTAGCTAACGAAATTCTGTGTATATTGACTTTTTCCAGGGTAATGTCACAGTGAAATCGGAGACTGTTGACAATTTCTTTAATTTACCTGAAGATAAACGATTCAATTTGACTGGAGATGAAAGAACATACCTTTCTCTCTAAAACGGATTATTTTTCGCTTAAGGAGATTTATTCCAAGATCCGTAATAAGCGTGCGAACGCAAAAAAACAGGCCACATATATGACCATTTTTTGAAAAACTTATTAGTTTTCTGTCTGTTCCGTTTCTAAATAACGCTTGAGCGGAACCTATTCTTTACAAAAACTATATTTCTACATGACTTACATTCAATAAGGTCTTCTATAGGTTGTCTTCGCTGTAACATATCGAAACTTTGTTTACGCGCAAGGCCAGCTGTGTGGTAAAAAATGCTATACAAAAATTTTTGTTACTGCATTTTTTGCAAAAAACTTCACAGAATAGCTAAATATAATTCTTAAAACTGCTATCGCTGCTTGTTTCTGAAAATAAATGTTGTTCCTTAAACTTCGTTTCAGTTCCTTTTGATCAACTTCGCACAACATTTTCCAGTTATGGAAGGGATTATTATTCCACCTTTTTATACTGACTGGGGAATTCTTCCACAGTACAATGTATATTAGGAGAAAGTTTGGTTCTGTCTTTCCTTATAGTATAGGGAATTACTTAAATATAATCTTACTCATGATTTAGCCAAAGTGAGTGCCTATTTCCCCCAATAACTTTAACTATGAGGGCAGTTTTCCTAACCAAAGCCGTTCTTATTATTAAATCCACTCAGTTGATCAAAATAACCTGCCATAAATGCCACACTAAGAAAGAGGCATTGCACCCTGACTCTCAGTCCGTCACACCACACAAACACCCTGGGCTGACCGCGCGATTCTATTTGTACCGTCAGTCGGCAACCTTCCAAACCACGGCGTCTGACTGGTCCCTACCCCCTATGACTGTTGCTGGTAGCCGTTTTTTTATCGCTGATGAGGACCCCCAGTAAGATTTCGAACGTTCGCATGAATAAGGCTACGAGTCCGGCGAGCAAATGACTTTATTCTGATTCTTTTTCACCAATACGCACACACATACTTGGAATGCGAACAGTCGCCTAAATTCATACGCCTATTCGAAATTATATTTCAGCCAATGTTTACGGATTTTGGGTGTACAATGCATTCGCAGTCGGAGATTAGCAAAACCGACCGTTAGGTCCGTAACAACACCCCCTCCTCTTCTTCCCCAGCAGAACAAGACACAGATGTGGAACACTTTCATCCACAGAAAATATACCGTTGTACAAAACTGTTACGCGTGGGACCGCCACCATCATCATCATCATCATTAGTAATCATCACAGAAGGATGGAAGTGTGAGAACAGACGTATCTTTCACTGTGCCAGTCGATCTGGTTGGCAAAAGCATCAGATTAAAAGTAAAGTGATCTCAGTTTAAATGGCTCCGTAGGTGCTGGACAAGCGGGAAGCCTCCCCCTCGGGCTCCGCCACAGTGGGTTGAGCAAACCTGTAGACTTCCTCATCCTCCAGGTCCTCTATCAGTGGGCGTGTGAGGTCTTCTTCGGGAGACGGCGCCGGAGGAAGATAGCGGTGGTCAATGAAGAGGTAGAGCAGGCTCAATACAATGGCGAGGACAGGTATGAAAATAGGTATGAAGAGGCGTGGGTAAAGTGAGATCGAACTCGGCACCGGTGGTTCACCCATGCTCAACACAAAAGTC